GAGTGGATGGATGGATGGATGGATGGATGGATGGATGGATGGATGGATGGATGGATGGATGGATGGATGGATGGATGGATGGATGGATGGATGGATGGATGGATGGATGGATGGATGGATGGATGGATGGATGGACGGATGGATGGATGGCACCATGCTGCCCAGGCAAATTGAAGCTGTTTTGACCCTTAAATAAATGCAAAATATATGCGATGGGTCAGTGGTGATGCATAATAAATGTGACTTATATATGTTTTCATCCTCTTCATGATGCTTTTTTTGACTGATGCGACTTATACGCTGGAGTGAATCATTATCTAAAAAACTGGCAGAGGTAAAGCTATTTCTGTTTCCCAAGCTAGCTTTGGTGGCCTTGTTGAATCCAGCTGAAGCCAAAACTTAAATCAGTTGTAGCTCATTTGTTCAATTTGACCTCAAATACAATAAAAACCAGGGACTCACCGGCCTGCAGAGGACTGTGGCAAACAGCAGAACAAAAACAACAGCCACTTTCATTGTGTCTTAGTTTGGTGCCTGAACAGGAAACAAAACCAGAAACAATCCAGGTTAAAGTCACACAACAAAGCATCATTGTTTAACCAAATAAAACAATAAAACACAGTTGAGATGCTCGGAGCTCCTCCACCACCAAAATACATGCCTGAAGGCCATAACTTCACAGGAAACACAATGGCATGTCAAACTCAAAATGAATCGCGTCTGCCAAGATTCCTTCCTAAAAATGGACGCTGAATGGTCACATGACCCTAACGAGCCTTGGTATGTCACAGGAAGTCATTAAGGCTTTAATTAGAGACTTAAAATGTCCGTTATGAGATGTGATTTGAAATACTTGAACATTTTCTCTTTCATCAGAGGCAGAAAATCACATATTTCTGAAGAGTGGTTTGTTAAACTACAAGATGGGAGATTTTTGCCTGGTTCTTGTCCAGAAAATAATAGGTATGATTCCATTAAAAAAAAGATTAAAAGAGCTTGTGGACATTTTACAAGCATTCTGTGCCTCCAACAAAAATATAAAGTGCACATTTTGGACACATCTGAAACAAACCTGCAACGTTTCTGTTTTGCTTTGAAAGAAGTATTTTTTTCTGGCTGCTGTGGGAGTTAAAGTCTTAATGCATGCGTCTATCTATAATGATGGACTTTTCAAACTGTGTGTAATTCTCGCAGCTATAACTGGAAAGCCACAGTACAGCCAAAACATGAGACACACACCCATCAGACTACACAGGGAAGTATTTTTGGATGTCTATCTGAGGGTTTAACCTCCAGAGTGAGGACATTTGTCATATAGAAAAGTTTAGGATAAACTATTGGTTAAAGCAGCATTTTTCATCATGTACATTAGTGAGGTCTAAGTTGTAGACCTTGACAGTAGTAGTAGTGGTAGTTCTTGTCTGTTTTGTATGTTTATTTTATTTTATTTTTTAAATAAAGTTTGTTTGTAGGTTTAAGATTCATGGTATTGTTTAATTAAAGTTAAAAAAAAAATAGAACGTGTGTGTATGTTCTCGTTTTTATTACATGGTGGGGTCCACAATGTGACTTTACACTTACCTCATGGGGACCATTTTTACCCATGGGGACCAAAGAGTGGTCCACGGGGACATTCTTGTCTGTTTTTTACTTCATTTAGACACAGTTAATTTAAAAGTTATGTTTTGAGATTGAAAATGTATTTGGGCAAAGTTCTTGTACACCCTTTATTGTGGGGTTATTTTTCTTGAGCTTCAAAGTGAGGACATGTCTTTTGTTAATTTATTTTGGATTTGGTTTTATTGTTTGATCAGAGTTCGAGTAAAACGCGCTCTTGTACATCGATTGCTGTTAAGATTATTTTCTGGACTTTTAAAATGTGGATATTGTCTATATTTGTTGTTCTTGTTTTGTCTATTTATTAATTGTGGGTTTTATAATTAAAACAGTTTAGTGTAAAGCATGGTTAGCTTTGTTATTAGCATGTGCTCAAAATTTTGAGGGTCATATTCCTAAACATTAAAATAAGGCAAATGTTGTCAGGCTCTCTTCTGTTTTAATGCAAAGTTTGTTTTAACAGTTAAACTTTAATTTTATTGTTGTAATGTTGGAGCGACACTCGTTCTTGTATACTTATTGTTGTGAGGACCATTTTCTTGACCTTCAAAGTGGGGTCATTGTTGTCTGGTTGTTATTTATTCTTAACACAGCTTGTTTTGAGGGTTGCAGTTAGTTATTTTGGTTAGGTAAAAATAAAGTTAAGGTAAAGCTTGATTAGCTTTAATTCTAAGTACAGTTTGGTATTATTGTAATGTTAGATCAATAGTGTCTAATCCTGGTCCTTTGAGGCTCTCTATCTTGCATGTTTTAGATGTTTTTCAGTTTAACACTAAAGATTTGTATAAATAAGCAATTAATGGTTCATGCAGAACTTGATTATCTAATAAGAACAAGGGAACAAGTAAAACATGCAGGGTAGTGGCCCAAGAGAACCAGGATTGAGCAACACTATGTTAATTTAAGATTAGATAAACATGCATTCTTGTAAAATAATTATTGTGAGGGCTGATTTTTTTTTACCTTTAAAGTGAGGACATTGTTGTCTGGTTATAGTTTATTTTAAACACAGTTTGTTTTGAGGTTTGGGGTTTGGTTTATAGTAATGATAGATTAACATTACAGTAAACCGTTTGTCTATAATGCTATCATGTGCTCATCATTGTGAAGACTATATTCTTGACCTTCAAAGTGGGGTCATTGTTCTCTGGTTGTCATTTATTATTAACTCAGTTTAGTTTGAGGGTTGGGGTTTGGTTTTATGGTTATGTTAAATTAAAGTTACAGTAAGGTATGATTAACTGGAATACCGTGTGTACTTTAGTCCACCAAAATGATGGCCAGCTTACAGTCTATTAAATTAGAAACATTCTTTTCTTTTTACAATTGTTTATTTTAAAGGTTTTGGTTTAGTAAATGGCTATGATACAATTAATTTAGCATAAGACATGGGTAACTAATGAAAACAGGAATTCTTGTGCACTGTTTAATGTGAGGACCATAATATTTGTATTTTAGTGTTTTTTTTAAATAAAACATTTTTCTGTTAAGTTTTGGTTTTATAGTTACTTCAGATTAAAGTTAAATTATGGAATGGATTACTGTAATGCTGTGTGTTTTTGTCCTGTCTTTATGAGAACAAAGTTCTTGATCTTCACAGCAAGGACAGTCTTGTCTCGCCTACACATTTTCATGGCAAAGGGTGTTCTTAAACCTGTTTACATTACTTTAAATAACAATACACTGATTCTACCAGATATTTATTTTAAAACAAAAAAGTAGACAGAGGATTTGATTTGTCTCATAATTTAAGGTACACATAGTTGAGAATAAAGAATGAAAGTTAAAAAAAGCAATAAATTATTTTAAGACTCATTATTATAAGCTTAAAAACAAAAGTGCTGGTGTCAGTAATGGCTAACATTTATTAGGCTAGTTTTTTACAGCCTATAAATGTTCTGGCGTTGTTTTTAATAAACAAACAAACATAGCTACGCTTTTTAAGTCAAAACACTAAATATTAGATTGTAAAACCTTTTAAAGCATTACTATATATATACACAATTTTCATGAATTACAATAAAAGTGGCTTTTACTTCAGTTTGAATTGAATTTTTAGTAACACTAGAAGTTTATGCAAAACTTTGTCATAAGGAATCTTAAAGTTGTTGGAAGTCTTTTTGGTGTGGGTCTTGGTTTTGTCTCCAAATTGACTTTACAACCAATAAATGGTTTAGAAACAAATAATAAAAACAAAAAGAGAGTTAATTAATATTAAATGTGTTTAAATAGTTCCATCATACTGCTAAATTTAGATTAATTCTGACAAACTGTAGTATGTCAGACTTTTCTTTGTTGGTGCTGTCAACAAGAAAGAAATCATAAAAATAAGTTTCTCTGATTGGCTAGAAATGAACATGTTATTGAAACAAATGAAGAAACAATATTTGTCAATTTAATAGATAAGTCATTAACAACCATTTGTGCAATATAACAATTAATATTTACATAATAGGAGTGTAAAACTAATGAGATTCCTTAAGTATTTGCATTTAGTTAAAGAAAACAATAAAGCTGAATATTACTATGTATATAATATATATTCATCTTTTAATGAATGCAGGGAATTTGTTCAACTTTTAACTCTGCAATGGCATCCCATAAATACAAAAGGTAACTTTTTCTTCTCAATATTTGCAGAAAGTCTTTGGCAAAAAGACTGAACAGAAACAAAACCATCCATGTTGTTGTTAATTTATTCTGACCTTGTTTGCAGTTGACAGAAGCTGCAGGGTTTCAGCAGAAATCTTTAGTTTTATCTCCTGGCCTTTCTTCGGTGGTGTTCGCTGCCCGATGATGCTGCTACTGCTGAAACCAAGCCTCCTGGTTGGTTTATAAACACTTCAGCCTTCAGCAGCAGCCAATCACTGCAGAGTTTTTTGTGACATAATGAGGTTAACCGCTCCGTGGTCCACCTCTCCTCTTATTCTCCCACTCTTACTGTGATCGGTGGCATACACACACATACACAAAACACAAAGAAAAAAATTAAACACTTACAACCCAGACATGTTGATGCACTTTTTCTGTGCTTCTGTCTTTCACACACTCATGCTTACTGTGTGTAAAGTTAATTTTAGGAGCATGTAGTGGCAAGTCGAGGGGAAAACCAGCAGTGTTCAGATGTAGATGGTATGACAGTGAATCAGCTTTGCCACAGGCAGAACAAAATCATCTGACTGCGATCTTTCTGGATAATTGAGAATCTGTCTGCAGCACCAGACTCATTTGTCTGAACTGTCAAACAAACGGCTGTTTTGATTCTCTTTTTACATTTATTGCAATAAGTTAAAAATATATTTTATTATGTAAATTCTGCAAAATTTGTTCTATTCTTTCTGTGTTAGAATATTTCCTCTGATGTTAAAAAATAGAGAAGTCTAAAAAATACAGACTTTTTTATCAGAAATAGGTAAAGGAATAAAAGTTTTACACAGGTATATTCAATGCAGAAGAAGGACTGAAATTGACTAACAAATGATGGAAAACCATAT